TAAATTTTAACAAAAAGTGTTAATTTTATGAAAGAAAAATTTTCACAAAAGGTGTAACGTTTCAGAAAATGTGTAAGTGTTTTTCACAAAAGGTGTAAGTTTTGTTTTCACAAAAGATGTAAGTTCCAACAAAATGTGTAAATTTTATGAAATAAAGTATTTCACAAAAGGTGTAACTTTTGACAAAAGGTGTAAGTATTCTTACGAAAAGGCGTAAGTTTTTACAAAAGGTGTAAGTTTTAACAAAATGTGTAAATTTTATGAAATTTTTTTTCACAAAAGGTGTAATGTTTCAGAAAAGGTGTAAGTAATTTTACTAAATGTGAAGTTTTGTTTTCACAAAAGGTGTAAGTTTTAACAAAATGTGTAAATTTTCTGAAAGAAAGTATTTAACAAAATGTGTAACTTTTGACAAAAGATATAAGTACTTTCACAAAAAGGTGTACGTTTTCACAAATGGTGTAAGTTTTAACAAAATGTATAAATTTTATGAAAAAAATTATTTCACAAAAGGTGAAACTTTTCAGAAAATGTGTATGTTTTTTCACAAAAAGTATAAGTAATTTCACAAAATGTGTAAGTTCCAACAAAATGTGTAAATTATGAAAGAAAATATTTCACAAAAAATGTAAGTATTTCATGAAAAGGTGTAAATTTTCACAAAATGTGTAAGTTTATCAAAAGGTGTAATTTTACAGAAAATGAGTATGTTTTTTCACAAAAGGTGTAAGTAATTTTACAAAATGTGTAAATTTCAACAAAATGTGTAAATTTTATGAAAGAAAATATTTTACAAAAGGTGTAAATTTTCACAAAAGGTGTAAGTAATTTCACAAATTACACTTTTGGTGACCAAAAGGAATTTAGTCGCCAAAAGTTACATTTTTGGTGACTAAAAAATTTATTAGTTGACGTTGATTCAATGTTTAGCTACTATATTATTTTAGTTGATATATATTATTTATTGGCGACTAAAAAATGAATTTAGTTGCTACATATGATATTAATAAACGACAAAAAATTTTAGTTAGCGTAAATCTAAATTTTAGACTACTAATTTTTATTTTAGTCGTCGTATACAATTATTTGCCAACAAAAGGAAGATAAGTCGCCAAATAAATAACAGGCTTATTTTTCCATTACTCTTTGCTGACTAAATAATTTGGTTAGCAAATATAAACTTTTGGTTACTAAAAAAAATTTAGTTGTTGTATGTTCAATTTTTGCCGACAACAAAAAAAATTAATAGCCAAATTTTACTTTTAGCTACAAAAGATTAGTTATTATTGATTAATATTTACTGACAAAAAATAGTTTAGTCGCTAAAGGTTGAAAAATTTATTAACACCATCGTCCCTCTTCTCCGTTTCACACCAACACTTTCTCTGTTCTCTCACACACACACAGAGAACAGTCACCAACAAACCTCACCCCCACTCATCACCCAACCGTCACTGGCCACTGTTGTTCACTGCCGTCGCTCGCCATCGTTGCACATCGCCACCGCCACTAATCACCATCGCTGCTGCTGCAAATCACAGGTTTTTTTTTTCTTTCTCTCTGCCGATCTTGGCCTCTCTCTGTCGATCTCTGTTTCTTCTTTGTCGATCTCGGTCTCTCTCTCTCTGTCGATCCTTGTCCATCTCGATCTCTTTGTCTCTGTCGATCTTAGGCTCTCTCTCTCTCTCTCTCTCTCTCTCTCCCTTCCACTATATTAAAAACAGGTTCTTTTTTACATTGAAATACTTGGTTGGATTTGGACTTGGACTGGTTATTCCAAGCCCTCCCAAATGCCTCTTCTCTCTCTGGAATTTTAGAGAGAAAAACACTAAGCCCTTCCAAATGACTCTTCTCTCTCACATTGCCATTATTTGAACAACACAAATACAGTTTGATTCGATTTTAGGAGCTCTTTGCAATTTTCGTTCCTCTCTCTCTACCCGAAACCATCAATAGATCTGGACTTGGGTACCTTCTTGGCTTCAATTCGATCAGGTTTGATAGCTTCTTCTCTCTTTTAGATCTGGGTTTGCTTCAATTCTGAATTGTGGTGATTGATGGATTGTTTTAGATCTGGGTTTGATTTGTTCTCGGGTTTTTGGATCTCAAATGTGTTGTTTTAACACAGATTGAGCTCCGAATCTATCTGAATTAGGGTTTTATGTTGTTAGATTAGCTATATTAATCATTTCTGTGATCATTTTCATTCATTGATCGTCTCATTTTTTTGTTTGATATGTTAATATGGGAATTAGATTTGTTAATCCCTTGAATACAATCTTTTGTAGTTTTGAACTTCTGATTGTTTCAATTTTTAATATAGTTCCTAGATGTTGGTTTTGCCTTTGTAGATTTCTAAATGCAATATGTTTCTTTATTCCATTTCATTGGATTTTGATAGGCTGGAATAGGTTGCTTTATACTGGAAAGATTAAATTTTTGCATACCATTTTTCAAAGTTTGCTAGTTGCTACTAGTTGTGTGAATTTAGTTGCAAATTCAGAATTTTTGTAGTGAAACAAGAGGTGGTGATCTTCCTTGCTACATCTCACTATATATTTGATTGTGATCCCTTTCAGAATATCTATTACTACATCCATTAAACCACTAACTAATGTAGATATGTAACCATAAATCAAAAGTCCACAAGTCATTGAATTAAAAAAAAATAAATAAATAAAAATAAAAATAAAAATTAGTACATCAAACCATTTGGTCCTAGTGAGTTTTTGGATTTGTAGCCTTTCGGATATTTAAGAATTCAATTACTTAGCCATCGGTGTAGTTGAGCATTAAGAACTTGATAACTCTTCAATCTATCTACCTAAACTGAGCTTCATGTTACATGAAGGTGCAACTTGGAAGTGATTCTGTTTTAAAGGTACAGTTATGCTAGTCCAATTATGAATTGAGAGCAAGATGCATGAGTATAGCTGTTTTAAAATTGAACTTCAGAATGAAACGATGAGCAACGAGCAACTATTCTTTAAAATTTAGGATTGATGAACCTTTTCTCCCTTTTTCTTTCAATGTGGAAAACAACTTTGGTCTCTCTATTTGTTATTGAACTTAAAAGTGCCATTATATGGTTGTGATTGTTATAAGCTTGTGCTCTTTTGGTCTCTTTGTTAGAGTTTGAATAAGTAAACCATGTGTTAATATGCTTTGCCCTTGTGTTTGGAGGGTGTGGTCTGAACATGTCTATTGATCACTGCTTGGGTGTATTTTTTATTTGTTTCCTTATCCTGTATCCATGATTTGGGGTTGTTAGGATGACGTGAGAGCAACAAGGTGCCAAATAATAATATCCCTGAAAAAGTGTAACAAATCCCACTGAGAGAAATAATTAATGTTCCTCTTGACTACATATTGATATTCTACAAATAATATTGCCTTATATTGGATTAACTTAAATAATTAAAGAAATGATGCCAGATTCTATAAAGTCTATGCAATGTTTGCAACTAAATGTTGTTAATCAAGAAACCATCTTCAATGCATCTTTACTATAAAGTATAATTTTCAAATACATATAGTCAAATGAAACAAACTAATAGGCATCAATTAGCACTCCAAGCTTAAATAGGTCACAAGAAACATCTCGTTTTATACCGTGATAGTTCTTGATACACCAGGTTTTTTTCTAGCTAATAACTTTTGATATTTCTAGCTAAAATGAAAAAATATGGTGGCAGGTGTGAGCAACAGCATCAAAATTAGGGGTGTGCGTGGTGCGGTTCGGGCGATTTAAGAGTAAAATTACAAATCGAATGGCGGATTGGCGGATTAGCAGATTGACAATTTGCAGTTTGGACGGTTTTTGGTAGATTGGCAAATTGAAGAATATTCTAACTAATTATCATACATTTGCATAATATATAATACTAATTTGTATAATATTTTTTAGATATATAACACAATGTAATTTTAAATAATATGTTTCATATATATAACCAATAATTTATAATAAATTTTATATCTTAAATCTCTCTCACACTCATTTTTACATTGATATTTCATTGGAGGTTAAAAAATATATATGTATTAACTATAGCGGAGCGTACAAAATAGTTAACCATGGCGGATTATAAATTATAATTAAAGAAATGATGCCAGATTCTATAAAGTCTATGCAATGTTTGCAACTAAATGTTGTTAATCAAGAAACCATCTTCAATGCATCTTTACTATAAAGTATAATTTTCAAACACTTATCGTCAAATGAAACAAACTAAGGCATCAATTAGCACTCCAAGCTTAAATAGGTCACAAGAAACATCTCGTTTTATACCGTGATAGTTCTTGATACACCAGGTTTTTTTCTAGCTAATAACTTTTGATATTTCTAGCTAAAATGAAAAAATATGGTGGCAGGTGTGAGCAACAGCATCAAAATTAGGGGTGTGCGTGGTGCGGTTCGGGCGATTTAAGAGTAAAATTACAAATCGAATGGCGGATTGGCGGATTAGCAGATTGACAATTTGCAGTTTGGACGGTTTTTGGTAGATTGGCAAATTGAAGAATATTCTAACTAATTATCATACATTTGCATAATATATAATACTAATTTGTATAATATTTTTTAGATATATAACACAATGTAATTTTAAATAATATGTTTCATATATATAACCAATAATTTATAATAAATTTTATATCTTAAATCTCTCTCACACTCATTTTTACATTGATATTTCATTAGAGGTTAAAAAATATATATGTATTAACTATAGCGGAGCAGAGCAGTTCGGTTCGGTTGGCGGATTATGAAATTTAAAGTTTAAACCGCAGTTAGCAGTTAGAACGATGCAGATAGATGTGAATCGATGCGATTTTAGCGAATTAGACGGTATTTTGCACATCTCTAATCAGAATACCAACAGCATGAAAATAGAATACCAAAGCAGCATCAGCTAAAACGAAGATATCAGCAGCATCAGCTAGGGGTCACACCATAATACCTAAGCAGAGCACTCCTTTTCAACTTCCTTCAGGTGGGTTTTCTTCATTTTCAATTATAATTTGGTCTACATATAGTATCTATGTATGGATCAATTCAAATATACAGTGAAATATAACCCATGGTCTTGGTTGTTCTGGTCAATTCGAATATAATTTGGTCTACACCGTTGCTCACCACCGTCGCTCACCACCGCCACCGCCACAAATCACAGGTTTTTCTCTCACTCTCTCTCTCTCTCTGTCGCTCTCGGTCTCTCTCTTTCTCTGTCGATATTGGTCTTTCTCTATTGATCTCGGTCTCTGTCGCTGTCGGTCTCTCTCCCTCTCTATCGATCTTAGTCTCTCTCACTCTCTCTCGCTGTCGGTCTCTCTCCCTCTCTATCGATCTCGGTCTATCTCTCTCTGTCGCTGTCAGTCTCGTTCCCTCTCTATCGATCTCGATCTATCTCTCTCTGTCGCTATCGGTCTCTCTCCCTCTTTGTCGATCTTGGCCTCTCTCTCTCTCTCTCTCTCCCCCTTCCAAATTGAAGACAGTTTTATTCCTAACTCATTTTTTTCTTTGTTTGAGTTATGTTGTTGATGTTATGTTATAGTTTGCCTCTAGCATTGCAGTCCATTATCCAATCATTTCTTTGTTTGCATATTTGCAAAAGCAGGTTTACATTTTGTCTTGAAGATAAAAGGAGATCCAAATTGTAAATTTTGTTTCCTAAAGAGCACAGTTAGATGGAGGACTGGGGCAATATTTAATGGCTTTATTTTTGCAACATTTCAGTTTCCAAGCTTGATGGAGTATTGTATGTCTTTTTAATTCTATAACATAGTAACATTTTACTAGTTGAAATTAAAGTTCTGATTTATAAAACTATTTATCCCAAAAAAAAAGAAGTTTTGATTTATAGAACTCCAATTCAATTTTGGTTGAATTGATTTGCGTTTATATAAATTTGGGAGGATGGTGTGCAAAACTAGGAAATTGAATGGGTGTTCAAAAAGGTTAGGACTCCAAGTGCTTGGCTTAACCATGTTATTCATTGATTATGGCCTCGTTTACAAATATCATAATATCCTTCCATGTTAGTTTATATTTTTCATTTTTAGTTTTATTCATAATATGTGTTATTTTGTAATCAAACTATGTTGCTTGAGGATTATTTCTTTTATTACTTTGGTTATGATAGATGATACTTTCTAAGCGAAACTATTTTAAGTTGATGTGTGAGTTAATTTGCCCAATAATCTTATAATTATAAAGCATTAAGTTGAAAGCACATGGGTTGAGGGCTTAAGGTATGAAAAAGTCCTATTCACAACTGCCCACTAACTCATAATTGTAGAGCATTAGGTGAAACACGTGGGTGAAGGGCTGGAGGTATGAAAAATTCCTGTTCACAACTACCCAGTAATCTCATAATTGTAGAGCATTAGGTCCAAAGAACATAGTTCGAGGGCTTTAGGTATGGAAAATTCCTGCTCACAACTGCCTAATAATCTCATAATTGTAGAGCATTAAGTCCAAAACACATGGCTTGAGGTGTGAAAAATTCCTGTTTACTTGTGATTTCAAGAAAGATATGCAACTGATCTAGTGGATGATTGAAGAACAAAAAGTGTAGCAGACCTCTAAGGGTCACGTCTTTTTCATTCTTTTGAGGCTTTTCTTTTGTTGACTATTTTAATTCAATATATGCTTTCTTGTGCCATGAAACTAGCTTATGCAAATTAGATGCATCTAATGTTCTACAAGATTTACCTATTCGTGAGTTGCAAGTGAAATTGGTTATTGTTTTCTGAGTGCATATCATGCCAATGTGGATAGATTATTGTTCTTTGAATTTCTTTCACTATATTTTACTGGTGTAGATTCACAAATTCAACTGTCTTAAGGCTAGGTGATCTCTTGTTGAAATTTTTTATTTAGGACAATTGAAATTTATTGTTGTGGATATTATTGTAATTTAATTTTCAAAGAATAGAGTTTTACAAAATTCATAAAATCTGAAGAACAGACCGCAATTTTAGGAATGTGATTGTGAAAGAAATCATTATCAGTCATTACACTACCTATTATTGCTCTTTGTACATTTTGCATATAATGGCACAACACCTCATATCCACAGAAAATTAAATGTTAAATAAAGTAAAACCTTAACTAGTTTATGTACTTACCTTACTATATAATACAAGAACTGACAATTCCATTTGTGGATCCCTGGGTGAATGATGAGACTTGATCCTTAGGATTTAGATGGAGGGAAATGAATAGGTGGTAGTGATTTTGTAATTTGTAAAATGAATTTAAATATGTTGCAGTCTTTGTTTTATTTATTTTTGTAGGAAGCATGAATAGACCTTTGGGTTTGCAAAAAATTGGTTTTGAGCCCTCTAAAATATGTCTATCCCAGTTTTAAAATAAGCCAGTGACGTAAATAGCTAGTGTGCTCTGCATTGGATGTTAGTTGATACTAGATATAAACCTACACGTATGGGGCACTCAGAGCCTGAACATTCACAACGAAGCAAGGTTTAAAAATTTGGTTGATGTTGATGATATTTTGTGGAACCTTGATGCAGGAACATGATTTTTGGCATCTTGCCTTCAAGATTTTAGTTGTTCCAAAAAAATGTTGTGACCTTTATTATTATTATTATTATTTTATCTTAATTGTTCTTGTGGAAGAACGAGAAAACTAATGATTTTGGGAATTATTTGTGATTGTTATAGAGGACGAGCCAATTCTACCTCCTCTAAAAAAGAAGTAACCGAAGAATAGATGGGATGACAAAGATGTGGATGAAAATGATGTGAAGGATTCCTGGGAGGATGAAAAAGAAACTGCTCTGGTAATGTTGATAACATGTTTTATTTTATTTTATTTTATTGGTTTATTAAAATATTGATAACATTCTTTGTTCTATTACATTTGGAGATGAGTTATCATAGCTGGTAAAGATGTGTAGATAATGCAGCCATACCTAAAACATGTAATTTTGTAGTATGTGTTAAATGACTGAACTTGATTTTTAGCCATTCCAATGTAGTTGTGTGCTCATTAGATTAATCTTCCGTCCTAAATATGTGGCAATATGTGATGGCGAATATGGAAAGAAGAAAAAGGGAAAATCTGAAATTTCACATAAAGCATGTTTAAGAGATTATGAATTGAAGTTTGGAATAATTTTGAGTCTTTATTTGAATTTGTTCTAATTATAGTAGGTTTTAGTAGTAAGGGTATTAATAATATTATGGTAATTTCAATATTTGTTGGACATGAGTTGTAGGGTTCGCCTATGGGTTTTTATTTTGGGATAAGTTATTAAATGGGTTATTATATAGAGGTTTTATTATGTCTAAAATAGTCTTAGTGGTAAACAAATGTCAAAGTTTCCTATTTTGAATTTGTGTCATGGTTGGATTAGAATTAGAAGTCATCAAAGTTTTTTTATCATAGTTGAAATAGAATTGGAAGTCATAATCATAACTAGTCTAGAATATTTGCAGTTACTAAATATTCTCAGTTTCTAAGTTTGACTCATAGTCATTACAGAAATAGGAGAGTCTTTACCCGTCAAATATGTGTAATCTCAATGACTCAATTCAGTATTTTTTTATTTATTTACCAAACTAGCCATACAGGCATAATGATCAAGTTCTGGATCATGTGCGCACCTGTTTGCTAATCACTGGACCAAGGTCTGCATCTGGTTCTATTCTAACACTTACTTTAAGTGCTTTAGGACACTCCACTAGCTTATCTTCCCTAAGAAGGTTTTAACAAATTGTTATATTAGTATAACAAAGGTATCTCATAACTGTTATAAAACTAAATAAGCACCGTTACACATTCAGCCATTTAAAACTGATAAATCCTTTTTAAAATATGTTAGGGAAGAGGAACCCTTTATGTAGCATGAATAGCAAGACTAAGAAACTTAAATCTCATATTATCACTGTCCTTTATTGAAACTTTCTATTGAGAAGACAAGGTCCTTTGGCTTGATTGTAGGTTTCTGTGGAGAATGTCAGGTCCTTGTAGTTATGAAGAGTTATCATCATAGCAATGCCCCTCACATCCAGTTAAAGGTGCACTGAAGTGCAACAGACTGAAATTGTCTGTGCCTCATTATTTAATTCAAATCTGTTAGAACTGGAATTTTTAAACTTGGTGACACCACTAATGCTCTACAATTTTTAGACATCCTACAACTTGAATGTACAAGTACAACTTTACTGGGGAAAGCTTTAGTAAGCCTAAACACTTTCTCTCACAATGTTTAATTAGAACAGAAGCTCCTTGTTAGTTTGAGAAGCTGCCTATTAGGTTTTTAGAGTAAAAAATATGCTATATGTTAAAAGGCTACAATATTATAATAAGGTTTTTTAAAAAAAGGAAGGTGTTGCTTCAGATATTTACCAGATCTCTAATAAGTAATAAAATGGAGCTGTTTAATGCATCTGGAAATGGAGATCAAGATAGTCTTCTAGGAGAGCAGCAATAGGTAAGTGGCACTTGTAATGTGACTAAAATCACATGCTGTAACATTTGGAAAAATGACTGCAAAATGGCTAGATTTTGCTGTTGAATAGTTTGATATACATCGTTGTGCCATTTCCTAACAGCTTAAATTTTTGGGACATTAGTAAGTTAACATGGTATCAGAGCTTAATTTTGGGAGACGTCTTGGGTCCCCATTTGCATTCTTTCTTCTCTCGCTTGCATTGAAAACTCTATATGTTTGTTTATTTACATCCCCATATGCAAGAAAGATGGGGTTGAATGTAAGAAAGGCTGTTGAATAGCTTGAAATACATTGTTAGACCTATTTCCTAACAATTTTAAGTTTTGGGACAATTCGTAACCTAAGGCAGAATCAGAGACGCAGCAAGTTCCATGCAGTCCACTACTGGATTTGCCATTTTCATGTTGTGTGTGTGTGTCAGCATGTAAATGGATTGGAGTGTAACTATGATCACTATTTTGTTAATACCCAGCTCTAAGCTCTCCAGTAATTGTTACCGTGGGTGTTGATTTTTGACCACATAACTAAATAGGGAAACTCAGCAAGAGAGCATCGGCAGAATAGATTAAGCTCGAACAACCTACTACAGAAAGATAAGAATCTGGCGGTGGTTCGTCCACCCGGGGGCACTCCAACAATCAAGTCAGTAATCAATTATCTCTCAAAGATCACAAATAGTGCTTAACGCACTGGACAGAACATAAAAAACGTACCTTAGACCCACGAGGTGCTTTACTTTTATAACCAGCACTAACCTGATTCTTGTATAAGCCTAGTTTCAATGGACTTTGGCTCAATGCTCATCTTGGATTCCCAGCTAGATAGAGATAAACCCCCTAAGAGCTCTATCTTTATCCAGACTGAAGTCCTCCCCTATTCTAGGACTCTTGTCCTCTACCTGAATACCCCAAATTCCGATATCTCCGTAGATAACCTCGGCTTAGCCGAGAGCACCTCGGCATCATGACCACGCCACGTGGCACCTCGGCTGATACTTCGGCGTCACCTTGGTCACGTGTTGTCATTCACAAAATATGTCCCCACAACTGCCGCTTAGGTTCTATTACCTCGACATCTTGAGGTGATAGAACCTACATCATTTGCCTACATAGCACATTGGCTAATACTTACTCTATCATTTATGACTGAGATCATCACCCATCGACTTTACATGACCAAGACTCTGCAGTCTACTTTATCAATGACCAAGAACCAAGAACCAAGTTCTTCAAGTTCCTTAACTGAGATCGCTCCCTTAGCCGGGGTTTTTGTTTCATTAAATCAAGAACTCCAAGAGTTTTATCTGCGCATGAGCTATCACGCACAGTTTACTTAACTGTTTTCTCCACGCGTCGCTTCCTCATTGGTTTGTACCTGACACGCGCTATCAGGTCGCATTGCTTCTGCACACGCCGCCTGACAGACACATCGTCCAAGGCAGATCATTATGGTTTGTCGCATTTTCACAATTTTAACAAAACGTCTCCCTCTCTCTCCGTTCTCCATCTCTTCACTTTTGAGTATTCAATTTACAACCAATTTTCTCTATCTAACGTTTCTCTCCCAAATCCTCCATTTTCGTGCTTTGAAGCTCCTGCAACTACTTCAGTCATCTCCTCTGGCGAGCATTTCGTCATCTGCTTCTAATTATTCACGTCGTCTGACTCCAGCGATCTTCATTCTGGCGTCTCTTTCTTTGGCTCCAATCGGTAAGTCCTCGATTCCTTTTCGTTCCTTTGTTCATTCTTTCAAATAACTTGTACTGTTCTTAGCCATATGATTTTTAATTGTGTTTGTTCAATTGTCTCACATGTTGCCATTGAATCTATTTTCTATTTTTCATCTTATGAGTTATTTCTGGCTTCTTGAATCTTCACCTGTGTTGTGAATTTCAGCATTTAAGGTATCAAACATGCTTGTTTATGACTTTGTGCTTATTCAATCTGTCTCTATGTCTATATACACACATACGCATTGTTCATATACTTGATACTTTAGTAGTTTATCACTGCTCTTGACTTTTGCACATCTGCACACACTTACTCAGTGTTCTTGAAAAATGTTACTTTCTTAACTCTGAATCATTTTTTTGTTTTGTTTTGACTTGTTTCCAGATTGTTGCCCTTGATTCTTGTTTCCGTATAGTCTTAGGTTTGAGGTTTGATAGAAATCACATTCCTTAGAAAAATTGAAACAAATCTGTGATATCCCTGTTTCGTAATATGTTAATTGGTCCTTTATATGAGTATGATTATGTGTTTAATATGATTTTGAGTGTCATTATGTGAAAATATGTGGTTTTGAATTTCTATCTGTTCACTGTAGGAATATCTATTTGATTATCTGCTTTGGAAATTAAATTGAAGGCCTTATCGGCCACAGAACTCGAAATTGATTGCGCCATTGTGATTAGCGTAATTTTTAGAGCCTACGGTGAAATTTAATTGAAAATTGATTTGGATCAAAATAATTAGATTTAGAACGACTAATTAAGTGCTCAATTATTTGATATTAAAATAATGTGACTTAGTGGGGCTTTATAAGGGCCTTATTATATTTAATTCCTTCTCTTTAAAATCATTTGGCTGATATCAACTCTAAGAGAGGGAAGAGAGGGTCGGCTAGAGAGGGAAGGAGGAATGATTGCATGTTTTGGCTCAAGGTTTGTGAGATTGGAAAGCTAGACTCAAGAATTGACTAGAATTTGGGTGTTTGAAGCTCTTAGGTGAGTAAATTCGTGGATTTTAGTTTGTAACTTGGTGAATTCAAAGTTGAATGGTGATCAAGAACATGAATTGAATGAAAATGAGTTAGTTTTGATGAATTGGGAGTCAATATACACATGCATGCATAAAATTGCCATGAATTTGCATAAACTAGCATGTAATATGTTGATTATGAAAAATTGAGGGCCAGTAGACTCTCCACTACTAGGAATCACAATGTTTTGACATGTGATCAGTAGTCACTCCACTACTAGGAATCACAACGTCTTGACATAGGGAGTTTAAGTCTTCCATGTTTGAATCTAGTGGGCTGGTGGTGAGTTTGAGTTAATTTGAGACATGCATGTGATTAAATTGTGAAATTGAGCTTAATTGTGTTGTAATTTGGTGTTTATATCATGTTAGAATATGTATATGTGAAGTTTGAGCCAAAATCATGCATTTGGAACCTTTAAACATCAAATTGAAGCTCAAGAACATGTTCTAGATTTTCCAGAATTTTGATGTCCGCTCGAGCGAGGAAACCGTCGCTCGAGCGTGAAATTCGTGTTCCCAGTATTTTTTGCAGACATGGTTTCTGCTCGAGCAGGGAGCCAT